CCCATTCCCTACCCCGCGCCACGTCCCGTTGCACGCGCGCCAACCCGCCAAGCCCCCCGCCCCGTGTCACATTCCCTGCCCCCGAGCCAGCCAGTCCCCAGCGTGGCCAGGCCTGGGGGCGTGGCCGGGGGCGTGGCCTCACCTGTCTGGCTTGTTTCTCCTGGTCCCGCAGCCACTGCAGGTAGGACTCTCGGGCCACCTGCTCCTCGATGGCCTCATTCGTGGCCTCCCAGTCGGTCGCTCGCTTCTTGTCCTCCAGCATCTGCTGCTCGATCCACGACTCCTCCGACGTCTTGATGGCGCTTTTCATCAGCGACTGCTCCGCGTACTGGGGGGAGGCGGGGCGGGGTCAGGGAGCCCCGCCCACAGAGTGCCCCGCCCCGTCTGTCAGACACCTGCCTCCAGCCCCGCCCATCACATGCCTGGCCCTGCCCCAGCCCTGCCCCCCAGCTGTGACATGCCCAGCCCCGCCCCCTGGCTGTGACACGCCCCCACCCGGCCCCTGGCCCTGTCCCCGGTCCCGCCCCTGACACACCCAGCCCCGCCCCTCCAGAAGCAGGGAGCCCATTGGCTGAGAGGCGGCCCCAGCCCCGCCCCACTCACCCCTGGCTTGAAGGAGGGCAGCCCCAGCCCCACGCCGATGGTGGCCTTGTTGGGGTTCACCACGGAGTTGTAGTGGATGTTGCGGTGGTAGGAGACCCGGATGGGCTCGTCCTCGTTCTGCTGAATGCCGTGGAAGGTGTTGATGGGCTCTGCGAGAGGCGGGCACAGCCTTGTGAGCGGGGAGAACCCAGGCGTCCGGGCTCCCCGGCCCCCTCAGAGCTAGGGAGAGAGCCCAGGAGTCCTGGCTAATGGGACGAGCCGGAATGTACCATCTATGGCCTGGGAGTACAAGGGAGGCCCCGGAGGAAGACTCTGGCTTGGGGGGGGGGGGTGTCAAACAGCAGGGAGTTGTGTCCCCCACCCCGCGAGGCGGGAGCCCTGAAACAGCCCCACAAGCCCGAGTCACCGGGCCAGGCCAGGCCGGCCGGGGGGGGGTTGCGCGGTGTAGATCCGGCCTCTGCTCCTTTGAGCTGGGATTTCGGTGAGCAGCCGGCACCGGGGGCTGGATGTCACGAGGGGGGGGGGGGTTAGAGAGGAGTCGGAGGACTGGGGGGCTCCTCTCGTTACCCTGCCAGGCGGAGACGGGGACTGAGCCGGAGCGACAGCCGGGCCCCCCCGTACCTGTGCCGTACTGGTACACCTCCACCGGCCGGTTGTACATCTCCGCCATGGCCTGCATCTCAATGTGGTTGCCGTGGCAATTGTTTTTCCGCTTCCGGTTGATGTAGGTGGTGAAATCTTCAGTCACATAGTTGGAGAAGTAATCGGCGTTCTTCATCTGCAGGGGGGCGGCCCCGGGGCCGGAGAGAGACTGTGATACAGGGCAGGGACTGGCCGGC